TAATAAGGCGGTGGAACAAAATCTATGTGTCCTAAAACCTATTTGTTCGCATAGCAATATTTGTTTATTCTAACTCCCATTTAAACCATTTAGTCAATTATTCAAGGTTACTCGTTGATTGGGTCTTATAATATGTTGAAATCAAATCCAAGCCCCCTTTACTTCATTATATGCCCAAGAAATCTCAATTGTCTCTTTCTGATTCAAAATATTAGCCTCGTTTTTGTTACCATTTTCCTCAAGACTTCCTCATTACTCGCATGTTAAGTCCATGAAATTCTCATCATCATTTTGTAAAACTTCCATATATGATGAATGATATGACATAACAGTTCCTGTTTCTGAATATTTTACTTAGCTTTTGGAAGGCATATTTCGCTATGCCATTGCACCCACTTCCCACATATTTAAATTTTCATACTTGCTTGACTTTGTCATCTTCAGTTCGTAGTAGCTCGCTTCTTGGACTGTTTAGCTTACTGCCAACCATAATCTCTTCAAATTGTTTGATTAGGAAGTATATCATAGACATCAATTGTCTAGAGGGGAAAAAAAACCATGTCTCTTACCATCAAAATCGGGGTGCTGATGAAATTCGCCGGGTTCACTGGAAAATAACAGATTCAATGCATAGGCCAAAGACGAACAAACTCAGGAGGTCACGGCTAGTAGCAATAAATGTAACGGAAATGACATGATCAGGAATAGTCACAGAAGAAATGCCACAGAAAAAAAAATCAAGAAAAAGTCACTGAGAAACGTTATATTCAATTGATAGTAATTATAGCAATTTTTCACCATGGCCGAGATGGTACTTTTGATATGTACTCACCCGCCCGACTAGGTCACCTCCTACTTTGCCACAATAATAAGTATTGTTGTAATGACGTTAAGACATTTAATTTCTGGTAATAATATACTGTCTGTTGCTCATTTATACAGAGATTTAATGTTTTCACCATTTTATAGGCTGAGGCATATAACGGTTGGCTTTTCGTTTTTAATCTATAATGTCAGTGTATTCTGTTCATTTTATTAAAAGAATAAGATGATCTTCCGGTTTGTGCTGATTCCATTTATTCCATGATATCTGTCCATCGGAGGTATCTCGGAGCTGGAAATAGAGCAAGCCTCCTTAAATTACTTTAGTTGTGCATTCAAATCATATGGAAAAATTTTAAGTTGTAACGCAGAGGGGTCACCAATTTTATCAATGCCTTACCATTTGCAAAATAAATAAATTCAATACATACATGTTATATATATATATATATATATATATATATATATATATATATATATATATATATATATATATCAATTCGTCCTTCAAGATGTGTGGTTGGTCCTTCATAAAGCCTTGCCTTCACCACTATAATCAAATGATATGTGCTGATGTCTGGCTATCGGTTCCTAGTAACTGAGCTGCCTGACCTCATATGTCG